AGTGATGGTGCAGGTTGCAGAGTGAGCATCAGGGAGACAGAGCTACAGAGAGACTGCAGCTCACCTCCTCTGTCATGTCTTTGAATTCTCAAAATTAACTTCAAGAAATTAGGAAGAAATGTATAATCTATCAGATGGCCAGAAACCAGCAAAGAAGCACAAGAAATATGAGAAACCAAGAAAATATTTCTCCCCCAAGGGAAAAGAACAACTCCTCATCAACCACAGATAGTAAAATAGAACTCATGGAAATGTCATATAAATAATTTTGGACATTCATAGTGACACAACTAAATGAGATGAAAGAGAAAAGAGACAACAAACCCCAGGAGATGTAACGGAAAAAAGACAATAAACTCCAGAAGATGAGGAAGTCTTTCCATGATTTGAAAGAAGAAATAAACATCATAAAAAAGAAGTATATGGAAAGGTTAGAGATGAAACCTGTAGTATAGGAAATCCCTTGAAAGTATGAAAAGCAGATTAGATCATGCAGAAGATCAAATCTCAGACCTTGAAGACAAAAATCTCTGACCTAGGAAAAAATCACTAAAAAGAATGAAAAAATAACACAAAAAAATTAGGATAAGATACAGGAAATATTAGATACCACTAAATGCTCAATCATAGGAATAATCGGTATCCCAGAAGGGAAGAATCTAATAAGAGCATTGATAATCCATTCCATGAAATCCTGGAAGAAAACTTTCCAAGCCTAGAGAAGCATTCAAACATCCAGACCAAAGAAATACAAAGGAGCCCGAATAGAATCAACCCAAAATCACATATAAAGATAAGATTCAAAAAATGGCAAGAGAGAAATATTAAGTTACTAACAAGGATTATCCCATCAAGCTAACATCAGACCTCTCAGTAGAAGCAATGCAAGCAAGAAAAGAATGGGAAGATATATTCAAAGTGTTAAAAGACAAACAATTTCAACCAAGATTACTGTATCCAGCAAGGTTATCCTTCAAATGGGAAAAAAAAGATAAAAACATTATCGGATAAAAAAAAGCCTAAAAGAATTAACCAACACCAGAGCAGGTCCTCAAGAAAGGCTGAAGGGAGTGCTACATAAGGAAAACTCAAGAGAGACAAACAGAAATAAAAGATCAAAAAACAACCAAGAAAATGGCTAGATGATGGTAGGGACAAGTTGTGGACCTGGAAGCTTGAGAAACACACTAGGGACATGTGAATGCATTCCCCAAATCCTGAAAGGTACGAGAAATGTCAGAAAAGAGACTGAGGTGTGACCATTCCCCATGGGGTACTTTCTCCTCTCCTTCTCTCTGTCTCTCTCTCTCTCTCTGGTAAGTTGCACATGCTCTATAGCCAAAAAAAAAAAAAAAAAAAAAAGGGAGGAAGAAAAGAAAAAAAAGAAGAAAGAAAAGGAAGAAATAAAATGGTCTCTTTAATGATAATATGCTCTTATATTTTTAATTTTTTAAATATTTTCTTTAATTATTTCACTTTATTTATTGTTATTATTTTTAAATTTGACAACAGAGAAATAGAGAGACACACAGAGAGAAAGGGAAAATCAGAAAGCAAGCCACCAGGTCTGGGACTCAAATTATGGTTGGTCATGTGGGAGACCAGTACCCCAACTACCATGCCACCTGCCAGCCCCATGATTTTATATTTAAAAAACCCTAAAGACTTCACCAAAAACCATCAGAACTGATCAATTTAGTAAAGTTTCACATGATTAAAGCACTATACAAAAATAAATAGCATTTCTTTGTATTAACAAGCTACCCAAAAAATTTTAGGAAAACAACTCCACTGACAACAGTATTAAAAACAAATAAATGCAGGAATAAATTTGACTGAGTTTTAACGAGGCACATATATGGACACTTAGCTCAAGACTACATTTCTCAATCTCATTTATATTTAGTTGTGGCTATGTGACAATGTTCTAAACAACAGAATGCATGCAACTTCCGCGTCACTTATCTAACAGGACACTGTCCACCACTTTTCTCTTTTCTTTTTCCTCTGGCCTGAAGTATGAGCAAGGCACTGGTGAACCAACTTTGACCAAGTAGACTAATGTAAACACCAGAGGAGATTGACATTAAAGTAACAAGTTAAAGAAAGCTGGAGTCCCAGACATTTCCATGAACTAGAGTTTCCTATTTCACCCGGACTACCTGCAAGCCGGAACGTAAGATGGAAATACACGTCTCTTTTACATGAATTATTGTATTTGTCATTGTTTTTATTACAGCAGCACAACCAAACCAAATTAATATACAAACTCGCACACCTACAGGGACCCAGTAAATATACATTATCCAATCATCTAGATGAGGAGTGTCTGAACCTGGTGAACAAACGCTCAATCAAAAAGGGAACAACCAAAATGTACCTCTAGCCAACTGCTGTCATGAGAATGCAAGCTTAAGGTTTCCAATTCTACTGGTTTATCAAGAAAGCTGAATTCTCAAGTGAAAACTTGCAATTTTGTAAAACATTGACAACTAATTCAAAATTAAAAGAAAAAAACACCCCACCACCACAGCAGGTTAAATCAATGCTTCTATATCATATTCAAGCCTAATATGGCCACTTTGTGACTTATCCTAGATTATTTTATTTTTTAAAGCTTGCTAAAGTATATGTGTACTCACTGAAGAAAGACAGAGAGAAAGAGACAGACAGAGAGTGGAAAGTGAGAAATCACTCCCTATGGGGAACGGCCATGCCACAATCCCTTTCCTCCATTCTCCTCTGGGGACTTTGGGAACACATGCACACATGCCTGGCTTGTTTCTCAAGCCGCTGGTTCAGGACTCAAATCACATAGTTGGCTGTGTGGGAACCAGCTGCTTCAACCTCCATGACACCTGGCTAGCCCAAACCTATTTAGATTTTTGAGTCAGTACTGATGATAAAATGTACAAATACACCATTATCATGCCATTAACAGTTTTCTGCAAAGCAAAACAATAAAAAGTTAGCTTTACCATATTAAATGTCTATATACATTGACGGTCAGGTATATCTTGATACCAGAAATGTGAAAGTGTGGAAAAAAAAATGTACTTTAGGAGTCTACAAATTTGGTATGTTTATAAGGGTACAATCCTAAATATCAAAAACATTCCAGTTGATGATGATGAAAATAGAGTAAAATGAGCCAAAATTCTTCAATCACTTTTAAATCTGTAACAGGAAGCAGCTGGACAGTTTTTAAAGCCAAAAGCTGCAGCCCACAAAGTAACTAGGTTGTACTGAACTCAAATATCCCACATTCCCTTGTCTGTATTCATCGTGGCCTTGGGTAAGATATCTTTCTTCATTTCAATGTTGTGTAGCTACTAAAAAAGATACCATACAGTGAATTAATTCCACATTATTTGACCTTAATAATTGGGCAAAAGTAAATGCTAAGCAGAGAGATCTTTAATAATTTTAACTAGAAGGAAGTTTAGTGATACCACCACACAGTGACTCATTAGGATCATCAAAGATGAACTTAACTTACCTCTCAACCTCTAAATAAATTAGAGAGAAATATTTGTAGAACCAACCCATTTCCCAGCATCTAATAATTTATAACATTACTGCTTTGGTCTCTCATAAGCACGTAACAATCAGCCCGAGGGAGGTAAGGCTGTACAACAATAATGAAGGACTTCAGGGCCAGCTCACAGAGTAGCAGTAGACGTGCACTGGACAGCTGGATCCCACATGGCAACCTGAAGTCTGAATCTTTGACCCACTGGGGTCCAAGATTATACTAGGTGTGCAAGTGTGCCCAGGATTCTATTGGGATGGAAAGTTGGAGGAAAAAAGTTCACAGTATGATTAGACCCCATTGGAGATGCTTTCTCTTTCTCTCACCTCACTCTCTCTCTCTCATCTTTCATACTCTGGCTTAAAAACATTAAACGAAAGGTACTCCAGAACTTGCAGAGTATCCAACAGCTCTGAAATCAGATGCTTACTGGATAGCTGACAAGTGTTAGAGTCAGAAAGAGGCTGTAGAAGTTAGTTTGAGCCTGACGCCCCTACCTACACAGTCTTCTGAAAGTCAAACCAGAAGGCTCTGAAAGTGTGCTGCAGAGCATGGTATTTCTTTCACCGGACCAACACTGGTCCTTATTGTTGCCACCCTAAACCATAATAAATTTGTTCTTTTAAATTTATTTTATTTCTTTTCATGAGAGAAAGAGAGAGATGGGTATCCTTAACAGGATCTCACCACATCATGATCTTTCCCCCAGCTTCCCCAGCCTTCCTCGCCAGGGCTGTGGGCACGTGGGTACGTGCAGCAGGTTTGGGCTGAAGCAAGATCGGAACCTGGGCCTCCCATATGGATCCAGTATTATGTAGTAGTGCCCTACTGACTGCAGCTCATTTTAAAAATGCTCTAGTTTACAGGTAAATTAAAGCATTTAAAATAGACTTTTCAAAATAAGTCATGTATTTAAATACTAAGAATCAAGATACAAATAAGGAATTCCAAGTTTTCTTGTTTCTTAAAATACCTTCATTCATTTTATTGAGATTGTTCATTCTATCAAAGGTAACTCACTATTATGTGTACTCTTTCTTTTTCTTTCTTTTTTTTTTTTCTTAGGTTTTTGTCATAGGGCATGTGTCCTTGCCAGAGGGAGACAGACAGTGAGAGGGGAAGTGAGAAATCACCCCCTGAGGGGATGGCCATACCACCATCCCTTTTCCTCCATTCTCCTCCTAGGATCTGGGGCACATACACACATGCACCTGGTGTGATTTTCAAGCTGCCAAGTCTGAGACTCGAACCTCAGTCAGCCATGTGGTTGTCCAGCACCTTGACCACTATGCCACCTGCTGGTCCCTATTATGTGTGATCTTAAGTCCTAACGAAAAAACATAAGAAGGTTAAATTTAAGTTTTACTTTGGTCTTTTACATTATTTAAAGATTGATGCCAGATAGTCCTATATGTTTTATTTATTTATTTATGGTTTTTTTTCTTTCTTTTTCTTGTTATTTTGTTACCTCTTTATATATTCCAGTGCATTGATAGTAGTCTCTAGAAGTGAGGCCAAGTCGAGGTTGGTCAATCTATAAAAAGTATACATAAAAAAATCATTTAGCTGATATGAAACAGTTGGACAAAGCGCAAGCATACCCATTTATGTATGCACAAGGGGCTAATCTTGTTTATGTAGGTAACAATCACACACTGAGATAACACATAATTAGAAAATGATTTCTACACTATTGTGAGTGTTAACCTGATGAGCAGGTAGTCTTGGGAAATGTTCTATAAATATCTCAGGAAAACGTGAGTGAAAAATACACTGGGAAGGATTTTTAATACAGAGCAGAAGATTCATGTGCACAAAAACATGTTGGAATCTAGGATTAGGGAATTTGTAAGTTACACATTTAAAGGACTTTCCAGTTTCCTGAGATTCTAGCATTTTCTCCTGGGGGGACATTCTTGTTCCCCCTCCCCCTTAGTTGTGAACCACTATGATGGGCCTAAGTAGGTCAGAGTCACTTAGGTTTCTATGGGTGGGTTGTGAGGAGAAACAGAAAAATCTATATGGCAGCTCTAAAACTTTTTTTCTAGTGTACATCTGGCGAGGACTTTTTTTTTTTTTTTTTTTTTTTTTCTTTATCCTAGAAAATGAAGGAGACTTCTTTATTCTTTACAAAGTTTCTCTGCTCAGAAAAACTTTAGCAGACCAGACAACTGGGTGAAAGAAGGCGAAAACTCATTTCTGCTCTATGTTTGGTCTACCTTCAGTACTCAAGTGAGAGCTAGGAGGACGCACAGCTCTGTGAGATGCGTGCTATTCAGGTAACACGGGTGTGGTTAACATGAGAATCCTAGCAGCTGCGAAGAGCTCAGGCCAATAAAAAAGACACATGACCCAAAGGACTGACATGGGAAGAGTCAGAAGGCATCTCCACATGGAGGGCCCTGTTCTCTCCCCAGCATCTAGATCCTCAAGGTGAACATCAAACATGCTGGCATTTGAAAAACTAAGGAGAGAATTATGGAAAGGGGGAAAGAAGACCTCTGCAGGAGAGCGTTGGGTTCAATTTCTTTCATAAATGTAATATAAATGACTGTAAAGATTTATGCAATCGTGACATAGATGCGAGTCCGTGACTTGAATCTTTTGGTGTAGTTTCTTTTACAGGAGGCCAAATAAAAGCTCTATAAAACATCTAGTCCATTTCAAACATATTCATTATTCTTGTCTTAGGTAACTCCAAATAAATGGTTTACATTCTAATAAAGCCATTTAAAGAGAACAGCATTTTATTTACCTTAATTCAGAAAGAATTTCAGATATTCTTTGGTGAGAACCAAAATTGTGTTCTAAACTGCTTTTCTGTGTTCTTTTTCAGAGCAATTAAGAATGTGTGCTTTCTAGGCCTGCATTACTTACATAAACCAAAGCAGGCTCTTTTCATGAAACATATTAAAAAACCAGGTGCTCTATCTGAATAAGAGGGCCTGGAGCCCACACTAGCATTTACAAGGGAGAAATACCTAAGACAGAGGAAGCAGAAGTGAGAAGTGAATGTCTAAAACACAGCATGAAGAAAATACTTTCAAAAGTGAGACTCCAGGTACCAGGGACAGAGAGTGAATTCATTACCACCTTGTTCATGCCATTCAAATGGAAATATGCATTATTTCTAGAGATCAATAACAGCAACGCATGCGAAAATATCTATACAACGTAAAGATCACTTTGGGATCTACCACATACACTTACGTGAATTATATGGTTCATAGAGTTCTTATCATCAGTGCCAACGAAAAAATTAATAAAGACTTTTTTCCCATATTTAGCATTTAGACGTGCAATTGATTTCTCAGCTGTCCAAGAAGCACCTGAAGCGATGAAAGATGAAATACATATTTAGAAGTCTCTGCTCGTTAACTTGACACTACTACCATAACACATTTTGTGTGGAAATTATTTTGAATAGAAAAGGAAAACTCCCTTACCATAAGTTTGCTCCCAGTTTTCTACTGCCACTGGCCACTCGAATATATCCGGCAACAGTGAGAGGAGAGGGGCTCCACCTCTACTATCAATAGCAGCTTTTGAAAACAATGAAAATAAATTTAGTATGAAGACGATGCACACTTTAGCACCAACATATGCATATCCTAATGACATCAAATGAGGAACACTTACATTCATTTATGCAAGACCTGTATAATGTTTTCGCTTTCTGCACCGCCTCTATGTCTTCAGTTCCGGGTTTCTGAAGGACATCTGAAATGGGGCATTAAATAAGATACATCAACATAATGGCTTATCTGCAACTGCAATTAATGGTTTCAACATAGGCTCAGTGAAAAAAGAAAAGAAAACAAAACAAAACTTGCTTTTCTGGAGATATGTTTACTCTATCTCCATTCCAAAACCCTATAGGAAAACCCAAACTTCTTACAAGTCATCATTCCTGGCACAGAACTGGAGTTGGTTTCATTAGCCAAGTTAGATGAAAGTCTTTTTGAGTAGATTATCTTCTTTTTTTTTTTTTTTTTTTGGTGAACACTGATGTGTATTGCTCTGTTAATGGATAATAGCTACTTTTCTTGAAATTGAGATAAAAAAGAAAACAAATAATAAGAGTAGATGAAATGTTTTTTGATAAGTTTTTTTTCTTTTTTTTTTTTTTTTTTGGTGAACACTGATGTGTATTGCTCTGTTAATGGATAATAGCTACTTTTCTTGAAATTGAGATAAAAAAGAAAACAAATAATAAGAGGAATTTGGAATTTAATATGAATAGTCCTCTTGATGACTGGAAAATAATTATCTCTGTGTGATTGTACTGTTCATGCTCCAAATGAATTAAATGAATTGTTCTACTCATTTGGATGTCAAAAAGTAGCAAAAATTGTTTTTCTACAGGGTATCTTCTGGAAGGGGAGGGAACACATGATAGAGGAGAGCAGGGATTTGCCAGGACTTTCTCAACTTCCTGGGGAGAATGTCTTAGCGGGGTTCCAATAATGTACCAGCTCTGAAAGGGCAAATCTTCTGTTGTTAATTCTTTGTCATTAATTAATTTATTGTTTTTTAAATATATTTTAACTATTACAATCTGTGTCTTCTTCCTAAGTTAACTTAAGCATCACTTTTCAATTTTTGTATTTTTAAGTTCACATTTAACCACTGTCCATCTTAACAGTGTACAATATGGGTTTCCCCAGCATGAATACAGTGCATGTCAATTCAGAGAGATTACCATATACATTAACATCAACACGTAACTTCCCATTTCTGTGTCTACTAAATAGCTTGTTCATTTTTCCCTGATCTCTTCCCTCTCTACCCTTTTTACCATCCCCTATCAACCATCCCCCTCCTATACTGTCTCTGGTTTCTACAGTTGTAGACGGGCAAATCTTAGTAATATAGTGACTTTAATGTAGGGCTGGGATACAGAGACTAAAGAAATAGTAGCAATTACTTATTTTTTTCTTCTGCAAGATGGCATAAAAGTGCCACCTCTAGGGATTTAAGAGCGTTACCATTTGTGTATACCTACAAATGAAAGCAGAAATGCTCTGAGAGACCAGCATATCCATTTCAGTGTCTATCACAAATCCCGAAGGCATTAACTTTAATCATTTGCAATGTTCCCTGTAATGCCTAACAGTAGTATCTTAAAAAGTGGATCTATTAAGAGAGAAATGTTTGATGCATAGATGCAGTCTCCACTGACCTTTCAAAACGACTTCTAGTTCATCTCTTAAAATGTCAAAGTTACTGTAACGGGAGCTGGTCTCGGGAATGACGTTGCGTTTCAACCAGCCTCCACAGGCATACTTGAAGAAGTCTGTACAGGGCTCAGCAGTAGCATCCATGTTCTGGATCAGTCGAGCGGCTGAAAGAGCAGAGGGAAGACTAGATAGGATGAAGGGTGTGGGCCATCAGGTGGCAGTGGCGGTTAAGGTGCTGGATCCCACATGGCCAACTCTGCCACTGTATTGGAGTGTGACTATCCCTGCTGGGGGGAGATTTCTCACTTTCCCTCCCCTCTCTCTGGCAAGCCACTGGCCCTATGCCAACAAAACAAAACAAACAAACAAACAAAACGAGGGTGCATTTTTTTCCTGAAGGGTGTATTTTTCTTCTGGAGAGTGTCTTTTTTTCTGAAGGGTGTATTTATAAAGTGGTTTGGAAAGGAAAACAAAAAGGCGTGCTGCTTTCTCTGTATGATCCTGTCACCTGGCCTGATGCTCCCTTTCTCAACAACTGTCAGTTCAAGAGGGATGATGAGTATGATCTGCGTGTAGACCTCAAGTCCTTTACTGTAGTTGGTTCATTTTATTCTCAAGTGGTCTGGGTCTTCCCAGTGTTTTAGAACCCCACCCCACCCCATGCCTTGCCTCCATTAACTGAGTTTCTTGCTAGTTGCTATCTCAGAAAAAAAGAATATAGGTCTACTTTGTCTTGGCTACCGAGAGCCTGAGGTTAACACAATGTCATTCTTCACTCTGATAACTTTAGTTGCTGACTCTGCCCTTCAAGGTGCTGTGACTTCAGAATATCTCGGATGCTCCGAGGGATGGAAGATTGCTAATGGATTTTTGTCATCTTAGCAAGGATCTGAAACCAGTTATTACTTCTTGGACTTCACTTAGAAAATTTTTGCAATTCAAATCCGACATCCGATTTGCATTTGTTTATGTTGTCCATCATTATAAAATGGGCTGTAAGCTTGTTAGTTTTATGTCCACTCTTTTATCTTTAAGAACTATGATGAAAATGCAAATCAGCCAACACCAAGTATTCACAATGTGCAAGGCACTGACTCTGCTAGGTGCTACAACGGTATAAAATATGAATTGTAACTACTGAAGAGAAGAAAATGGCCCCATGCCTACACCTGAAATAGAGAAAACTCTACTGCTACTGCCCTCCCTATTTTCTTTCTCATAGAAGTTGAACTGTTTTGCAATGAAAACAAAAGAACAATTCAAAATTCATCTGTCTCAAGAGTGTATAAGCTCTCAATCAAACTTTTGGAAATACCTACCTTTCTGAATTCATTAATTAAAATCTCCAAACAATTGCTGAGCTGTGTGGATTTTTTTTTTACTTGGTATGATAAATATATTTTCCAGTTGAATTGCAAACCCCCAGTTCTAACCACATTTTGGACATACTTGCTTGTCAGCCACCTCAGCCTTCAGCAATCTGATATTAAACTTGAGGTTGCCTCTAAACCAGTCCTCTCTACTTTTTTGCTTCAGCATAGAGCACAATTGTTATCAGAGCCTCTCATGTTTGAAACCTTCATGAAAACTATTGGTAATTGCCTTGATTTTTTTTTCCTCCTCAGTTTATTTTGAAAGAATGAGAGAAAGAAAGAGAGTGATTCCCTTCAAAATGTCTCACCATGCCATGATCCCACCAGCTAGTCAGCCATCCACACCAGTGTGTCGAGGTCATCCTGGGATCTAACCAGGAACCTCCAATGTGGCTCCAGTACCATCCTGGGATGCCCTACTGCCTGCACCACTGTGGTTGCGTTGTTTCTGACTTTTTCCTATACCCCTCCTCTCATGAACTGCATCAACCTAATTTACATATTCCTTCCCTTCTGAAGAACTCACCTAACTATTCCTCTTTCTAATACAATCTCCTTTCTTTTAAACATTCTACATACTTTTCACAGATTTTACTTCCCAAAACACACTTTCACAGTGGCTACAACCTTGCTCGAAAATGTCAGTGGTTGGGACCAGCAGTTGTAACGGCTATGTCTCTGGACTCCCACGTACTCGACCATAGTTTGAGTCCTAGATCCAGTGGCTTAAACTCACACTGGGCACATGTGCATGCGTGCCCCCAAATCCTGAGAGGAAAATGGAGGAGAAGGGATTGCAGCGTGGCCATCCCCCTTGGGGAGTGATTTCTCACTTTTTGTCTCTCTGTCTCTCTGTGTCTTTCTGGCGAGCGTACATGCCCTATAGCAAAAACCTCTCAAAAAAAAAAAAAAAAAAAAAGTCAGTGGTTGACATTTCCCAGGTTAAACTACAAACTCTTTAACTTGATCTCTAAATCTTCACCAGACTACCTTCTCTTCCTCCCTCTCTATAGTTTATACTGTACAAACTCTTCCATCCAGACAGGTTTACTCAGAGTGTCACAAAAAATGGTGTGTCCTCCTAGCCCTGTGTCTTTGCTTCTGTCTTCTCAACTCCACCAGACCATTCTTTCCAAGTTTTACTCATCCTTCAAGGTTCAGTTCACATCTCATCTCTCACCTGAATCATCTCTCACCTGACGCTTCCATGACTCCAAACGACAAGGAGTATTTCTTCTTCTGAACTCCTGAGAGCTCATCACCTCATTCAACTTTATTGTTTACATGAGGCTCCTTTATGTTTTTTTTAATTGCGGGTTTCTACTCTGCCTACCTAACCATTCTTCTGAAGTCATTCATCTCTGCGTACTCCCATTACCTAGTGCCTAGGTAACAGGGGTACAATTATGTTTATGTGTAACAAAACAGAGTCATGAGTCCTTTCATCCCCTTCTATACATCTCCTGACCTGCTCCTCCAGGTCACAACTGTTCTCATGTCACCACCTCCAGAGTCCATTCCATCCTTCCCTTTCCTACTGTTTCCATTCTTTCTCAAGTGCTCTCTCTCAGTCTCTCCTTGGGCCCTTTCATCTGAGCTGTGGCCCCATGCCCCTCCCTACCCTAGTCCATCCTGTCCTTCACTGAGAAAGGAATGTTTCCAAAGTAATTCAGCATGTCATTTTCCACTTCCAGTTTTCAATACAGGCCTTTTGCATTCATAATAAAACCAGGTTCTATAACTTAATCTAGTCCTGACATATTTAATGAAGCTTTTCAATCACTACTTTCTCACAACAACCATCTACCCCAATCAAGCAAATGGACCAGTTTCTGCTGTGCAACACCATAGTTTTCTTCTCTTGTAACTTTGATCATTTTGCTCCAGCCAGCCCCAACACCTATTAATATGTATCCTTTTGTATTTTTTTCACACTTTAAAGTTGGCAATTTTCAAAGCTGTTTAAATCCTCCTTCATGAAAGACTGTCCTTATGAAACCTGGATCAGCTTGCATCATTTTCATTTTTTGCATACAAGGAACGTAATGAACACATCTCTCTGCCTATTTAGAAATACCATTTGCCCTTTTAAACACTGAATAAAAAGGGATGAGAGTTGCAGCAGCAATAGCAGCACTGATGAATGAAAAATGCTCTGTCATAGGAATACGACTGTACTTCCCACATCTCTCGCCAGGGAAAAAGACAGCCCTCCCCTCTTAGGTCCAATTCCCTCACCTAATACCCAATATAAGTGAACTACTTGCACTTGTACAATGAACCAAAGCCCAGCATTCAGTCTGTGAAGAATGCTGCTAACTCCTTCCTATGCTACTTTTTAAGTTTCCTTTGACCAGAGAGCTTGACTGAGCATGGGTCTTCCAATCACTTCAAAGAGAGCTCTCCATCCTGATGAATATTTGGGGACCATGGGCCAAGGCAAGTCAGGGGCTAGCACTTTCATGCTAGGTCTTTGATCAACCTTCCTTTAATCTCTTATCATGGGTTTGATTCTCGTTTTGCACCTTATCCTCCGGACCTCCTCTGTGATGACTTTTCTTTGAAGTCAGCAGTAGACTTGTGGGTAGAAGCGCCATAGGAAACAGACGCTCAACTGTCAAACTGGTTGTAATTGTTTTTATGTTTTGTACTTTGTTTTGAATTACTCAACCTCTCCACATAGCCACACCTGGGCTCTTCAGATGTTTCCTTATCTGTGGGTCTCTGACTTCTGAGTAAACAAATGTTTAAAATCAAACAAAATGATTCCCCATAATAAGCAGACATAAAAAATTGATGTCATAAATGTGAATGTATTGACATGGAATGTTGTTGACAGGTGTTGTAAAGTGAAAGAAAGTGTGCTATTTTTTTTTTTTTTAATCTCTGAAAAACACAGAAAGTCTAGAAGGACATATACTAAGACATTTGCGGCAGTTATATCTGGATGGAAGGATTAAGGGTGTTTAATTTTGCATTATTTGCTTATCTTAATTTTCCAATTTGTATTAGATGAACATACATGACTTTTGCAAAAAGGAAAAAGAAAGTTTATTTTTCATTTAAGAAAATAGGTCCAGCCATGGTGGCATAGTGGTAACACAACATTCTGCAAAGCTGGAGCCATGTGAAAGATAAGGGTTCGGTTCCCAGGCCAACCTGTACATGCGGGAAGGCACTCTGTGATCCTGGGTGCCTGGAACAACTGGACAGTGCGGGGACATGTAGGGAATGCAGTGTGAGGCCCTGTTCAGGTTGCTGGTCTTTTTCTCCTTTTTCTCTGTTTCTGTTTCTCTCATGAAATACTCATTACTGTTTCTCAGTAAATGAATAATCTTAAAACAACCTATAAATTAAGAAAATAGTCACATAAATTAAAAAAAGTAATTTCTATTAATAATGAGCTTATTTCTTACAAATGACGATCCTGAATGTTCTGGGCTGATAATAAATGGCATGCTATTTCTTTCTCACTAATCTTCTTGTAATATTCTCCTACCTTATTTGACTATAGGAATTTAAAAGCAAGCTCAACTACCATCTGGGAAGTTATTAATTACTGTATTCATTACCAAGGGTCTATTATGTGGGTATGCATTGGGAGTTGCTGTATAAGCTGGGGAAAATGTTTGGGTTCTTAAGTCAGACCTGTTTGGAATTCAAAAGCTCCACCACTTTTTAATTGCATAAGATTAAGTAATTTTCCCAAGTTCAAGCAGTTGGTAAATGCAGGTGCTCCAGAGCTTGCATGCAGATGCGTTCATGCTCCTCCCTCCATGCTCTGGACCCAGAATGCAGTGGGCATGTGAGAAGTAGTGCTTTGCACTGCCCTTTTCTCTACTCCTTCCCAGTTACCCATCATTTCCCCCTTGTCCTACCCCTTCTCTTCCTCTCCTCCTTGCCAGCCTGTAGCCACAACTTCCCTCCTTCCCAATGTCAGCCTTATCACCAGCAGCTTGTGCAGGGGCAAAGGCAGAAAAAAGCATTAGGACTTGCAGGAGCCCCAAGTGAACTCTTCACAACAGGGTAAACAGATAGGAAAGTGGCACAGAGACCACTCACACTCAAAAGCATGTCAAAGAGCACATCTCCTTGAGGGCCTACATGGAGCATGTTTCTTGCCTCACTCATCTTTACAGCACACTGGATTATGAAGAGCGAAAAATTTCAGAAATGTACTTTATGGCAGTACTTTTCAACTCTGGCTGCACATGTCAGTCATCTGAGAGGCCTTTTAAACACACAGATGCCCAGGATCGACTCCTGATCAATTCAATCTGAATCTCTGGGGTCGGTCCAAGTAGTTTCCAAGATTTCCTGAATGGTTCTATTGTGTAGCTAGGGGAACAACCGGATTAGAGACAATAGGGAGAAATGGAAAATGAGGACAAGAGGATCTAATGTCAGGAAATAAAGATGGTTCCATACTTATGTGAATCAGGAATATTTCCTCTTTCCTTTTCAGTCTGCTGGGAGCGGGTGGCAATTGAGATTGTGAAGGGAATCTCCCAAGTGTCTTATGCACAAGCCCACTCCCCCCAAGGTCTCCCTTCTGTTCCATGGAGTTTAGCCTCCACAATCTCCTGTCCAAGCCCATCCATAATCCAGTTCCTTATGGGTGCTGCAGTTGTATAATCCGGAGAAAATGCCTCCCTTTCTCATCTTTATTGTCTTGAGTCTCAACCAGGGCTCTTGTGCCTTCAAGTTAACAGCTCTTTTAGAGCATACCTCTTACTCCTAGGAGCCATGAGCATCAACAGGCCTAGTGTTGGAGAGATTTTAATAGCAAAAAAAAAAAAAAGCATTACATGCTCCTTGACATACAATGAGGTTACATTGCAATAAACCCACAGGAAGTTGAAAATATCATTATTATGCAACCAGTAGTTGGTGTAATGGCTATGTCGCTGGACTCCCATGTAGTCGACTGTGGTTTGAGTCCCAGACCCAGTGTCTTAAACTCACTTCTCTGATGGCTAAGAGATATTTCTGCTGGGGACCTTCAGATGACATGGAGGTTAAAGTGGCTGGATCTTACATAGCCAATTGTGTGGTTCAAGTCCCAGACCTGGTGGCTTGAAAAATCACACCAGGCATGTGTGTATGCATGCTCAAAATCCCAAGAGAAGGGATTGCAGCATGGCCATTCCCATGAGGGGAGGGATTTGCTTTCTCAAGTTCCCTATCTCTCTCTGTCTCTCCCAGTGAGCACATATCATACCCTATAGCAAACTAAAACAAATTCAAAAAGAGGTAAGATGTCGGCTGTCAAAAGAGACTCAGTGCACATCACCTCAGCAGTATGCTGGACCTCGTTAGACATGGTAGAATTCCAGTGACATTAGAATCCCCTACATTTCTACCTAAAAAACAGACAATCCCTGACCCATATTTGAATGCCAGTGGCCTCCATGCTATAAGAGTTCCCTTTTCCAATCTGTATGCTATGTTTCCCAACAACATCAATAGTTTGCTAACTAAAAATAGGATTTCTGGCACTATTCACAATAACATTTCAATGTTTATACATGCATATTCCCTAGAGGCTAGTTTTTCTGGTCCTGCTTGTTTGTGTGTATGTATGGTTAAAACATTTTCTGCATTTGTTAAGTGTTCCTAAGAAAACTGCAATAAAATAGGGGAAATCTGACATAAATATAATTGTCACAAGCAGGAAATGACTAAACCAGATAGCATAAACTTTTGTGCTACAGTACTTGTTTTGTAAATTTGACTTTTTTTTAATGTTGGTACCTATTTAATATTTAGATTAATGTTACATTTTCACATGAATAAATCCATGGGAATTCCAAGTAAATATGATTGATCCTTCCTACATAAGTTTTGTTCTCTGAAGTCATCACTAACACTGAATTAGGGGATATTGAATCCTTGCCTCTTGGGGAAATATTAATCCAAGGTTAGTTTCCTGTGAACTGCTGGTCAGACAACTGATCATAACATAACTCTGTGGTGTGTGATTCTGTTTAGAAACACCTTACTTAACATGTAGTGTTGGTTTACTAACATTGGACTCACACCCATGGTGCTGTATCTCATGACTGAGCAGAGCCTATCTGTTACCATATATTTTCTCCAGAAGACACACCACAGCCTCTGTACTCAGGAACACTAGATAGCACTTCAACACTACACTTGTGGATCATTTCACACACCAACCAAATGCATAAAAGTGCAAAGAATGGACTTCAAAAAGACCCGAGTTTACAACGCCTTATTCAACGATGGCTGGGTACATGTTTGTAGGGAGATTCAAAAATTTTTGTCCAATCTGCAAACGACTGAGCAGCAGGCATGGGATTATAAATAAATGTTAGCGAGCAGGTGAACTAGGAAGCACGGAACCCACAAATACTGAGATCAACTCTACTATCATCTTTTTTCTTTGAACTTTTAGAAACATTAGTAAAAAGTGCAATATAGGCAAGAAAATTAAGTGGGGATAGGATACAAATAATTTCCTTCTTGATTACTACTCTATTTTAAATGCTCTTGGTCACTATATATTAGCCACATTTTACATGGGTTAGGTATTTGCTTATATCTGTGCCCTATGTTCACCCTTGGCGCCATGGTAAATTCTTCATTGATGCTTCCTGTTCTGCATGCAAGCAAGGTTTGTGAACGGTGTATGAACAAGACTGTTTACAACTTGTTCTTCCCAAAGTGACCTCAGCCCTTGACTTCCTGACCCCAAACACACAGCCCTGTGATTTCAGTATCTTTAAATCACTATAATTAGTCTGAATGATGACTATTTTAGAAGTGTCTAGAAGAGGTCAGAGGAATATTGAGGCACCAAGGAGCAAATGCTCTTTTGTGAAGACCTAAGGACACACATTTCTGACCCAACTTTCTGTCAAAAATGTTTTTTTTTATTTTTTTTATTTTTTTTTATTAACAGACATTAAGTTTGATATGACTTACTGGGCAATTTTGGACAATTTAAAAATCCCCTTAGATAACATTCTGAAAGTGCTGCTGATCTCATTTTTATTACAGCCCTCTTCTCACCATCCCCCCAACCAAAACGAAGGCAAAGTCAGAACATTCTGAAAGAACACAAGGAAAATGCAATGCAATCACAACAGGTCACAAAGGACTCCATTCAAAAGGCAGCAATGTGGAAACTAGAATCTGGGGGACCATTCCTGAAGAGAAAATTAGCAAGCACACAGACTCTAGTGCTAATAAAGACCAAATGGCTTTTATCACAAACTTGCTGGATCCTTTTACAATTCACTCTTCATTTTTAGATGAAAATCCCTAAATTGCTTTTGTGATGTCTTGGTAAAAAAAAAAAGGGAAGGGAGTTGAGGTACCAGAGGCCAACTATAATCCATAGCGCTAGCTTATCCTAAATTCAAACACTACCTGTCAACCACTAGTTAGGGTCCAGGTAAACCAAGGTCAAATAGCATACATGTCTAACTAGTCGATACCAAGGAAAAGAAGTCACTGAGCAACTGTTCAAATACTATGGATTGGGACCTGCAAATGGCATAATGGTTATGTCACTGGACTCTCAAGTGGTTGACCATGGTTCAGTCCTGGACCCAGTGGCTTAAAACTCATGCCAGACATGAGTGCGTGCATGCCCAAAATCCAAAGAGGAGAATGAAAGAGAAGGGACTGAGGCATGGCCGTCCCCCCAGGAGGTGATTTCTTGCTTTCTGTCTCTCTGTCTCTCCAGCAAGTGCACATGCCCTATAGCAAAAAATCTCTCTAAATCAATCAATCAATCAATCAATCAAATACTATGGACTACATAGGTAGATCTGGGAAAAGTTTCCAAGTGTTGTGACCTGTTCTATACTGCTGCCTCTCAATCTGGAGACCTATTTTTGGTGTTCTAGCTTGAGGAGTAATTTGTTTACAACTCTATTTCATCCATACATGTGACTAATTTACCATATATGCATAGGCTTTATACATATAACACAAATATACACACACATGCATGCGTATGCACAGAGTCACAAGGCAACATGTAATCAACTTGGAATCCATTCACTCTCAGATTAGTAGATACTCAGATTTACATATATAATGTGATTTTCATTTGGTTTCCATTGAGGACATTTAAATATAGTATTATTAGGTGGTTGGAAAAGTCATGATGCATTTTTACATAGAAAAACAGAAAAAAATACATCATGACTTTTCTTTTTTTTTTTTTTTGTGAGGGGAGCCCACCTGGAGGGGCAGGTCTGGGCCAGACTGCCATGTGAAATCTGGGCTTTATTCCAAGTTGATATGGAAGTTACAGAACTTCTAGATATGCTTAGGTTGTAACTTTGTATTATTTTTATTAATTTTTAAATT